TTGCAATTACAGAAATAGATCCTAATGTGATTTTCCCCCTTAAGTATACAAAATGACTAAAAATGTAAATTGGATATGTAATATGAAGTTAAATTTTTTAAATATCCAGAGTCATTATTATCTACATAATTTTGGAAATCTATTTAAAATCCTTTCTTCGACGATTGTGTTGCGAGCGTCACGCGATTTTTTAATTGTCTGACAGAAAAAAGCTGCCTCAACATTGTTTCAGTGTGAGCTTTTTCTTTTTACACTTCAGCAATGAAAGCAGACAAGGTTGCATGGTTACGCCCATCAACCACTTGGAAACTATTATGTCACCCTTCTGATGCATTGTTCGTTCGCGACTAATTTTGAAGAACAGTTTCACAGTGGTTCTAAATTTTCAAAAGGTACCGTGCTGCTTGTTCTCTTCTTCTTCCTCGAGCTAGTTTATCATAAATATAGGTTATTTATTTTTAGTGGACTATTTTCAATAGGTTAATTAGTAATTTTTAAAAGGTTAGTATTAGTTATATATGTCATAGTTATTATCTATTAACCTACACTTCACAAAACACAAAACAGGACCTTTTAGAAGTCATTTGGACAATATTTTATATATGTGACTGTCCACGACAAAACACGGCTTAGGTCCAAAAAATCAATTTTGAGTTTTTTATGGTAATCGACAAATTTTATGTTGCTTTTTCAAATGTAAAAGTAAAAAATATCAATTACTTTCGACAATATATCGTTTTAAAGATGGGTATGTCAATCGTAGTACTTCAATCGCTCGCCCTGTGAAATTTACGTTTGGCTAAGCCGCGTTTTCTCGTGGACAGTCACATATAGATATTTCTAAAAAATTTAAATAACTTTTTAAGTAATAAACCAAAACAATTTGAAACAATCTTATTAACAGAAAAATAATTTTTAAAATTCAAACATACATATTATATATATTATATTATTATATTATATTACATATTATATTATTTTTTTATTAAATCCTCTTGAACAATGTACATTATATCATTTTTCATATATGTGTCATTCCTTGTCAAGTGAGCCACCCCTCTGTCCAAAATAGGTTTTAATTAAAAAATTTTTCAAAATGTGGAAAATTTATGTTGAATAAATACCTTTCGAATCTTAAAAATCGATTGAATTTGATCGAAACATGTTACTTAGAGGGTTTCAGGGTCGCTGATTACGAATTTGAAGTCATATTTTCATAATGAAAAATAGCGAATAGGGGAGCGTGGGGTAATGGGAGCTTTTAAATTTCACGTACTTAAAAGCCTTCAAATTCGCTGCAATGTCTAGAAAATCTTCTACAACCTTTGTTTATATCATTCCAAAACAAACGATTACATTCTTGACAAATTTTTAGTAAAGACAAGGGAAAATGTATTTTTTGCGTTTTCGTTGTAAAATGCCAAATATTTCTAAACATCACCATAAGTAGTTAAAATCGTATTATTTAGTTCTGTTTTTTCATTATATTATAGGTGAATATGTGTAGATATGTATACTTGTATAAAAATCGAAATAATAATAAAATTTGTTTATGTTTTAATTTTTTTATTCAAATTTTGGCCTGTAAGAATTCTGTGGGGTAATGGGAGAATTAGTGTCAGACCAAAGAATTTCCGTTACTATGTTGCGTCTTTCGTTATTTCTTTCAAAATTGTAAAAGGTATCACCTTATGAAAAAACTTTTAATTAAAAAATAATTTTTGGTGGGAAAAATGAAAAATTTAATTTTTTTTCAAAAATTTTTTATTCAATTATAATTTAGGAAAAAATTTATTCTAAGTCTAAAGTTTTGGCTTCATTGTAAGTATTAACACTTTTTTCTATTAGAAAACAAAAAATATTCCTAAAATATAGAAATTTTTTAAATTTCAAGTGAAAGCTCCCATTACCCCACAAATTGGGTGATTGCAAAAAATGTATTTTTTTGAAAATTTTTTTTTTCCAATTTACTTTCTCTTTTTAACCCGGCGAGTATGTGGTTGGGCATGTCATGCCCCACATTTACTTAAATCCTTTTAAATCCTAAAATTTCCACTGTAACGTTTTGAAACTTCGAGTAGCTGAAGTTATGGGTTCATAAGAGAAGATGATGGTATGGTGATAGTGTTATGTAAATTATATTTTAAATTACTTGGACGTAAACGTCAATTTTGCATATTTTTGGCGAATTTTTTTTCCTAATTTCTACTAAATTAATGACAACTGAATTGAGATATATTCTAAGAAGCAGTATTATGCTCCTCATTCACTAATATTTAAAGTCCTGCCTTTATAAAAGTGCAAATTTGATTTTATGAAAGTTTTAAGTTTTCATTGTTTTATTTAATCATATGATAAATCTTATGACAAAGAGTTGATTTTATCTTTATAAATAAATAAATAATTAAGGAAATATATTTTATTACATGCCTTTTTATAATATAATACCAGAAATTAACTTAATATAGCTATATGTAACATTTATAAGCAATTTTACATTTTGGGCATGTCATGCCCACCACATAGTCGGTGTAACAGTTTCCCGCCACATACTCGCCGGGTTAAGTTTCTAATTAAACATAATTAAAGATAAATAACGAAATAAGTAGGAAATGACGAAAATAATGTATTATTATAAAGATAAGTTGGTTTTTTTAATAATTTTCCTTAAGGGGCTCCAATTTCCCCACGCTCCCCTACATTAAAATTATGTAGATACATTTCTAGTTAGCGAGGTCAAAAACCTCCAAGTAACATGTTCAATCAAATCCAATCGATTTTTAATGTTTGTCCGCCATATTGGGTCCGCCATTTTTATTTTTGAGAATCTGACTTCAAATTCGTAATCAGCGACCCCGAAAACCCCTAAGTGCCATGATTCAAGCATATTTGATCAATTTTTTTACAAACTTTCCGCCATTTTGTTTTTCAATTTGGGGCACAAGGCATTCAAAAGGTATTTATTCAACATAAATTTTCCACATTTTAAGAAATTGTTTAATTAAAACCTATTTTGGGCAGAGGGGTGGCTCGCTTAACGTGAAATGACACATATTTTTTTAAATAGTTTTTAGTCCTACAAGGGAAGTTATGAAGAAAAGTTAAAACTATGTCCAACCCTGACAACTCTTCCCTAAGTACTTATCTTAAATTAAAAAGTTACTTACACCTACACAGAAATAGGTGTCTTAAAACCACAACAGAAAATACAAAAATATAAATTTTTAATTTTGACACTTTTCTTTCGAAAGTACCTATATAGATAAGTACGAATGTTTTGATATGTTTTTTATATTTTTTATCGCATAGAATTTTGGACTCAGCTTTGATCCGTTTGACGTGAAATGTCCCAGGTCTAAAAATTTTTAAAAAGCACATAATGATAGTAAAAACTCTAAGAGTTTGAAAAACAACATAAAAATTTAGTTTTCTTATAGAAAACCTATTGGAGACATGCTAAAAAGGCTTTCAAGGTCAACTTGAAATAAAACAACTTTTTTTTCATCACCAGCTTATAGCTCGTGAAAAACCCTTTAACCCCTTAACTGCCGGCTAAAAAACACTAAATGTGCCTAGAATGCCAAAAATAAAAAATCGTCCAATTTGCCTGAAACTTGTTACTCAGGGGTTTTCGGGGTCGCTGATTACGAATCTGATGTCGGTATTTGAAAATTCAAAATGGCGGATCCAATATGGCGGACGGCTTTTTAAAAATTAATCCAAATTACCTGAAATTTGTTACTCGGGAGTTTTTGGGGTCGCTAATTACGAATCTGATGTCGGTTTTTCAAAATTCAAAATGGCGGATCCAATATGGCAGACGGATTTTTAAAAATAGACAAAAATTACCTGAATTTTGTTACTCGGGGAGTTTCGGGGTCCCTGACTACGAATATGATGTTGGTTTTTCAAAATTCAAAATGGCGGATCCAATATGGCGGACATTTTTTTTAAATTTTGTCTGCCTTATTGGATCCGCCATTTTGTATTTTGAAAAATCATCATCATATTCGTAATCAGCGACCCCGACAACCCCTAAATAACAAATTTCATGTAAATTGGATTAATTTTTTAAAAAAGTCATCCGCCATATTGGATCCGCCATTTTGAATTTTGAAAAACCGACATCATATTCGTAATCAGCGACCTCGAAAACCCCCGAGTAACAAATTTCAGGTAAATTGGATCAATTTTTAAAAAAGTCGTCCGCCATATTGGATCCGCCATTTTGAATTTTGAAAAACTGACATCATATTCGTAATCAGCGACCCCGAAAACCCCTGAGTAATAGTTTTCAGGCGATTTTAGACATTTTTAAAATAAAAATGCATTGTATTGTCCATGGCAAAGATTTTGAAAAATTTGCTAACAGTGTTGTTTTCAAAAATTTATAACATTTTTATAATTCATTGAATTTAAAAACAGAAACGTGCGTCGCATTTTGCATAGCGTTGACTTTTTAAAAATCATTCTATTTTTAATTTTCAGCCATTTTTGACTTTTTAACATCAATTTTTATCATGGCAAAGATTGTCAGTTTTCCGGCAGTCAGAGCAAAGTCCGAAATGGCAAAGATCTTTGCTATCGGCAGTCAAGGGTTTAAAATCACTATTCATACATTAAATTTGATTAATTTTACTTATCAATATATTAAATCGAAAAAAGATATTTTCAAAAAAGTCAAAATTTTGAAACTCCATAACTCAAAAAAAACTTATATTCAAACTTCTTCTAATAATAGTAACATTCTAGCAAAGTTTCGAAAAAATTCATTTTTTGACCTGGGCAGTTAAGGAATTTTGCCCCATATACTAGACATTAAAATTTGTAAAAATAAATAAAATAATAGCTATTTTTATTTTTAACAAAAAATTTGAATTTCGTATTTTTTGAAGTCTTATATCTTAACACTTTGAAATAATTATTCCATAATAAAATATGTATCAATTGGCATAGAGTTTTACTTTCATCAATAATTTGAAAACAGCAGTATGAAAATTATATTCATGTCATGTGAACTTTTTTTGCTTTTTTAAGAAAAAATTTCCGGAAAAATTCCTATATTACATACGGCAGTGGATTTTTGAAATCTAGGTTGCAATAAAGAAACGTAATTGCAGGAGTTAGACAGGTGGCTCCCTGCAGTGACTCGAGGTAGGACTCCAACAACAACCCTGTCACGTTCCACCCACCTCCAGCGAACCCCACCGAACTGCTAACTCTTAACCCATGTCTCAACCCCTCTGTTGGCTTAGTATCAGCGCTTCTGCCGCTTCAGATATTTCTGTTTGAATCCGCGCACTATCCTCACCAATGTTTCATATCGTTAAGCTCATTCTATCCGCAAGCGAATTATTTCTCGATGCCAGCTCTACTTTTTTTTAAACCCAAAAAGTTCATGTTTTCTCATTTTCCTTTAATTCTGACATTGTGTTTCAAATGTTTCTGCTTGCTAAATAAATGAATTAAAACACTGAAAGGTGCGGAAAGCATCCACGACCCTGAGCAAAAATTCAATTTCAGAAAAGCTGCAAAACAGTGATAGTGAGGAAAAAGTGAAAATTAAAAGAAAAACTGCTTCTCTAAGGGAATAATTAATTTTAAGTGTCAACTTTTTTATAAATATGAAGAATAAAAAAATGCAACGAAAGTGAAAATTATCATATTGTTTATGAATTATGAACTTAAAATTTTGAAGGAATATTCGATAAAGGAAGAATTAAAAATTTTATAAGATTTTTTTTGTTTTAGTAGAAAAGTTCAGGAATGTCGATGGAAACAGTGAATCGTTAAAAAGTTAATAAATGTTTTGTCAAATTTTCCGTTTTAAAGTGATATGTACCATTGATACTGAATGAACAGCTTGTGAATATAATTATATTTTGAAGATTTTTTAGTGACTTCGAGTGACCTTTTCACCAATAACTGCCGGTTCAACTGATACGTGACAGATTTTCCTGAGTAAGTATTAATTAACATTTGATGCTTCAAATGTTAGCCACTTAAAGCTTTAAAGTTTTTCTCTTTAAAAAATAGAAAAATTTTCTTTTACACTCATTTCTATTATTAAATTCAAATAATTTGTTATTGCTTGTAATTCAAGATACTTTTTTCATACAAAAAGTAATGGCTCTTATATTTCTGAAGCAATAAAACATTTTCGAAACTAATGTGGAACATTAATGAAGTTCTTGAATTATTGATATGATAAATATTTACTAATATATTTCTCTTCAATTCATTGTAATAAAGATTATTTTTGTAAATAATTAATAAACGAGCTATTTCTGTGACACAGCAGGTATTCGACAATATAATATATCAAAGTGACACACAATATAAAATAAAACATTAGTTCATTTTTGTAGAATTTTCTCAATCTTTTCTCTGACAAAAGAAATATAATTAGATTTTGTGTTATTTTCTTCTTATAAATGAAAGCATTAATTAAATAAATGTAAGAGAAGAATAATTTTAATTAAAATAGAATTTTTATTCTCTTTCATAAAATCCTTAAACTGAAATGAATTTTTTTGGGATTAGAATATTAATTAATATTTTACATCATAAAAGAATAGTGCATTTAAATGCACTATTCTTTTATGATGTAAAATCCTTTGTTGAATTTTAAGATTTGTGAAAATGTCAAACTAAAAGATATGATATGCGGAAAGAGAAAGTGAAATGAAAACGTTTTTGGCTTTTAGCCAACAGCGATGTTACTATCAATAAGAAACCTTCTGGTTGAGTTCGGTTTCTCAAATGCAACAACTTCGAAATCTATTTTTGAATATACATATAAGAAAAAAATAGTTGCCATCTCTTTTTTTACGATATCAGCATAACTTCATTCATCTTCAAAGCACAAAAGAACAAATGTCAAATCGTTGAAAAAATTAATGTCTTCACGGCGCGATAGCCATCATTCCGTTTACTTATTTTATTTTTCCTTATATACAATAATTATAAGAGCAATAACAGAAACTTTTCAATCTTTTAAATTAAAAATTGAAATCATTCTAATTCACTTATGCTTTCAAATAAATAAAAAAAATAATTTAACTCTTTTTTTATTTAAATTAATTGAGAACAATTGAAATCTATTTTAGAAACGATTCGAGTGTTATGTTACTGAAAACAATGCACTTATACTTTTTTGCAACGTTAAAAAGTTATTGCAGAATGTAATTCAAATGTATGAAAATGTAAACGTTGTATCGTGACAAGAGGATTACAATTATTTCCAGGAGATTGAGCTTTCTATCTTTCCGAAACCTTTCATGTGATGATAAATGGAGATTGTAAATTATTCTTTCAATGCCTATTTTTTGTCACATTAGAAACTGTTTGCCTATGTAAAAAATCATTATTTTTTTAATGGCTTACGTATATTAGTGACCCATAAATTAATAAAACATTCATTACCTACATATAGCAAAAATAAATTGATTATATGACATTTAATGCAATATGAATTTTCAAACAGTTATCAAATTTTTAATATATAATGTGTATATGAAATCTGTTCTTTGTGTCCCAATTTATATAAAAAAAAAATTGCAAATATCTAGTAACCACGAATTCTAATACAAAACCTTTAATTTTTTCTATTTCTGACAATAATTTTGATTTAAATAACTTATAATTCTAAAAGAACTATCATAAAATTTTTACTTATAGAAAAGAGTTGCGTTTACAATTTTTTTTATAAATAGATGAATATCAAAAGGTTTGAATTTGAAATTTTAGAAAATTTCAATTTTCAATAAATTTAATTAAAAACTTAGCAACAAATCGCGCGGCTAACTTGTTACTGCCTTTTTTAAATAAAATTAGCAATTTTAAAAATAATAAAATTTGAAAATTTTCTAATTGAAATTTTTGTTGAAAATACTAAAAAAATTCAATTTTGTAGAACTTAAAAATAATTGCAAAAATTCTTAAAAAAAAATAAAATTCTTCTTATTAAATTCAACTATGTTCAAATCTTGAAAAAAATTCTCGTAAAAATCCCAATTATCTTTATAAATAACAAAATTCTTCTCCAAAGTTCAATTATTTTCAGAAATTTTTCTAATTTTAATGATTTTCAATATCTTCGATTTTAATAAAATATTTCCCAAAACGAATTCAATTATTTAAAAAAAATTTTAATTTGAAATTTTAGAAAATGACAATTTTGAATGAATGAATTAAATAATAAAAATTTCAGAGGAATTCTATTATTTACAAATTTTTTATAAATTTCTTCGCAATAATTCAATTATTTTCATGAAGTATAACATTTTTTTAACCAGGAATTCAATTATTTTCATGAATAGTAAAATTCTATAGGTATGTAGGTTTTCAATTATTTTCATATAAATAATAAAAATCATCGCAGAATTTCAATTATTTTTTGTACAATGTTAATAGAATTTCTCGAAAAATGTAATTATTCTTAAAATTTTTATTAAAATTAATTTTCAAAGATTTTAATGAAATAATTTTTAACAATTCGATTTTTTTCAAAATAATTTGAATTAATTTCTTCGTAGAATTAAATTAATTTCAAAATTAAATTATTTTTAATATCTACTATTTCAATAAAAATTCACAAAAGAATTCAATTATTTAAAAAGAAATATATTATTAAAATTCATCGCAAGAATTAAAGTATTTTTCATAAATAATAAAATTCTTCTCAGGTATTCAATTATTTTCAATACAATTATTAAAAAATTCGATTGTATTCAATAAATGAAAGAAATTTTTCAAAAAAATTCAATTATTTTCCAAAAATTGTTAATAAAATTCAAGAATTAAATGCTTCATTTCAATTATTAAGAAAAAGGATTATTATTAAGACTTGAAAGAAATTATTCATACAGAATTCAATTACTTTGAAAACTTGTAATTAAAATGATTAAAGAAAGTCCATTATTTTAAAGAAACTCAAAGAAACTCTTTAAACGAATTTAATTAAGATTATGTAAAATTTTAATAAAATTCTTCCTAAATTCAATTATTTTCATAAACAATAAAATTCTTCGAAGACATTCAATTATTATCAAATTTTTTGATAAAATTCTTTGCAAGAATTCAATCATTTGCAAAAGTTTTATAAATTTTTTCGCAATAATTCATTTATTTAACAGAAAAATTAATAAAAGTTTTTCATAAGAATTTAATTATTTTTGAAAATTTTAATAAAATTCGTTGCAAAAATTCAATTATTTTAAAAAAGTTTGATAAAATTCTTCGAATCAATTCAATTATTTAAAAAAATTTTGAAAAAATTTCAATTATTTTCAAAAATTTTCCTCATTTCAATGATTTTTAATATTTCCCAGTGGGCAAAAAACCATCATTGTTTTAAAAACGTTCCAAAAACGTTTTTAGAACGTTTAATGTCTGCAAAATAATGTTCCAAAAACGTTCCATTGCTTTTAAAACGTTTTAGAACCATATAACGTTTTTGCGACGCTATTTGGCAGACATGAAACGTTCTAAAAACGTTTTTGGAACGTTTTTAAAACAATGATGGTTTTTTGCCCACTGGGTTACTATTTTATATAATGAACTTTTCCTATTAATTTCAATTATTTAAAAAACATTTTAATAAAATTCTACGCAAACATTTAATTATTTTAATAAATAATAAAAATTGATTTAAAAATGATTTTTAGTTAAAATCTCAATAATTGTATATATATATATATATATATATATATCATGAATGTTTAGAAATAATTGAATTTTGAAAAGGTTTCAAATCAAAATCTTTGAAATAGAAATTTTTCATAGTTTATACTAATAATTATGTAGAATTAATTTTTTTAAAATAGTTTATTTGAATTTATTTAAAAATTATCTGAAGTTTTTATTTTCTAATATATATTTAATTGGAGAATTTCTGAATAATCGAAATTTTCTAAAATTGAATTGTAAACAAATGGATTTGAAAATTTTCAAAGATATTTTTTAAAAAATTATTAAAAATAATTGATTTGAAGAAAAATTTTTGTTAGAAATTCTATCAATTAATAATTAAGGGTCCCAATCAAAAAACCGGTTATAATTATTTTAAGCTCAAAATCATTGCCCTGTAAGTCAAAAATTAAACTGTTTTTAATACCAATTTTTTGGGAAATATTTTTGTAATCTTTATACAAATACGAAATGTTTTTAAGAAATTGAAATTTTAAATCCTTCTTTTATTTAGAGGTCGAGAATTTTGAGTCTTAAAAACAAAATTAAATTTTTGTGGCAACCCTGGTAAGGTTAAATAATTACTCATTAAATATAAATATTATTTATACAACTCAAGACATTTAGGACCAGTTTTACCAATACTGATTAAAAGTTAATTGATGATTATAAATCCTCAATAAGCCAATCATAAGCCGTTAAACTAGCTTTAATCATTGATTAACTTTTAATTGAGGTTGCTGGAATTGGCCCTTATAGAATGTCTGAATACGTCTGAAATGAAATAAGGACGTGACATTTCGTAAAGTCTTCTTTTCACTTTTCTAACATCGTTCTTTAAATATAAATTATAAATGCTTAAAATCGAATCCAGAAAACAAGCATTAAAGAAAATATCAGAAAAGCAATTAGATGCTGAAAAAAGGTAGCAAATATATCCTACCAAAGCAAAAAGACTGACTAACCCAAATTCTATAAACTAATACATTCTGAGTAATGGAAGTTTAATTGAAATTTGATTACGTAATGTATATTTGTGTTTACAGAATATATATATACATATCTCTCAAAGTAAATTTATTCGAATGAAACCACGTGCATTCTTCTGACAAGCGTTATTTGTACTTGTTTCGGTACGCGCTCTATCTCTTAAACGACTTAAATGGACAGCTTGACTACTATTATTTACATACTGCTAACATGCAGCAGAATTCTCTGCGGTTTATCGATTTCTAGACATCCATGGCACTAGTACGATTCAATTTGAGTAT